TCCATCACTGGATATTTTTTTTTTCCAAAAAAAAGTTTGGACAACCATTTGTCCAAGTAAAGTCTTGGCTGATTCCCTGGGGTGGTCTGGGATTCTGAATTAATAGAACGAAGAGGAATTAATCTGGTAGAATTCAGATTGGCAAGTGACAGCAAGGCTCAATCAGTTCCTGGATCTATTCTGGCTCCTTTGGATGAGCAACTAATTGGTCCAAGAACCAATTAGGGAAAATATCAGGAATCTTGAGAATTCAGATATTGTACTACGAAGTGTGTCTAAACTCATAGGCTGCAGCAGGAAATCCAAACTAATGTCAGGAATGGCAAAACAACAGCATCAAAGAAAAATAATTACATTTTACCATTCCTTTCAGCTTCAGTCACACCCGAACATTCAATTCCATATGCTAATAGTGTGTAATGGCAAGGCCTGAGAAGAATGCTTTCTTTGAGGTAGCTGGAAGCTGTCCCTGTCTTCTTCTCAAAAGCCAGGAGGAACATTGACTCAACATCCCTGGTGCTTTGCTGGACCCAAGTCTGGTGATCCAGGTTTTTTCTTTTTCTCTTTTGGAAACGGTGCGCTCGTATGAAACTTCACAGCCAGAGCTACAATCAAGCCAATGAAATAATCAAGGGTTATGTCTAGTTCAAGATGATTGGGTTCGAAAAACTTGGAAAAGAGAAGAGTCTTAGCTAGTGGAGAGGAAAAAAAAATCCCTTTGGGGAAATGAAGAAGCAGCTTTCAAGTTTTCTTTTGAGGAGAAGAGAATTTGGGTGACATGATGATCAAGGGTGAGATGACTGCAGAAAAAGAAGAAAAGAATTGAGAAATTGCACACCTTGAGTAAAGCGTTAGAACGGAACCCGCGATGGCTTGTCTCAACGCAAAGGTTTGGCAGCAGATGGTATAAGAAATATGGTGTCAGAGGACTGTGGAATTAATGACTAGCACAATTGGTCAAAGAATTGTACAGAAATCCACACATTAGAGAGTAATGTAAAATATTCCATAATGCTATTTGGCTGATTAATCTGAAGTAATATAATTAATTGTATTTATCATCACACAGTTATTACCTTGAAAACGTTTCTCACATTAATGATCTACTGATTTTCCAATAATAAATACATAAACAGTTCTTTTGTTCTTCTGATGATCTCTCCACGATAATGAATCTATTAATTCCACATTAGCTTTCAAGAGAAAATAAATTACTGTTAATCAGGCTCATTAAACTGATGAGCAAACAAGCTATTTGAATCCATGTATATGTAATTTAATTCTATTCTTTTAAATGCCAGAAAATACCAAATCCAATAGCTCAATCAATTAAGCAATTAGCCAGTGACAAAATCTTTCAAGGCATTAAATATACAAATATCTAAGCGCAATATTTATGGCCCATCATGTTTCTCTAAGAAGTGCAATGAAGATTAGCTTATCTAACCAACCTGATATATCATAGCAGTACCTGACTCAAATATTGACTATTAATTCATAAGGCAGCCATTCTTGATAGTCATCAAATCAGTTTTCCTAGGGCACCAAAAAAAAAAAAAAAAGGAAAAAAAGGAAAAAAACCAACTACTTCTGCTGTCTCTGCGTAATTTTTTCCACCTCTTAGCTACAAAATGCAGTTCAACCTGTGGCTATAAACTGAAATACCATCTCGCCATCATCATTTTTAAAAAATTCAAATCAGTGCATTTTACAGAAAGCACGATCAATGAATGATGCCAGAACAAGCATGAACAATAATGGAAAAAATTATTCATGACAGGTACCGACAAAAGAAACTCAGTAATTTCCAATGTAGGGGTGTGAAGTTGGAAAAAAATAATCTGGCTTTCAGCAAATCCAAGGCTGGTTGAAGAGTTCTCTATCTTGCAAACCTGATCCTCCTTCATAGATGGGAAAGAGGAAATAAAGGAACGAAGTGGGAGTTATGAATTAAGGAGAATTCTAACCTAGGAGTCCAACCTAGAATTAAGAATTCCAACCTAGAATTGGGGAGAAATCAGTGAGAAAAAAATAATCAGTGGAGTGGCTTGCTTCCAGAAATTAGTGGGTGCTCCATCACTGGAGGTTTTTAAGAAGAAATTGGACATTTGTCTGATATGGTATACGGTTTCCTGCTCGAGCAGTGAGTTAGACTTGAAGACCTTCGAAGTCCCTTCCAACTCTGTTATTCTGTATTCTACTGCAACAAAATATTCAAGCAAGAGCCAGTGGGAAGCTGAGGGACCTCTTGGATGGTCAGAAGAATCCAGCATTAGGTTGGATCCAAATGGATAAAGCTCTCTCCTTAATGATTTAGAGGGCTGCCCTAGCAAGGATAAGGATGAAATAGAAAAGACAGTGGAGCAAACAAGGGAGAACTGCCAAAGATTTATAAGGGCCAAGTTAGAGAAACCACCCAGTGGATAAAATATGGTTAACACCCTCTGGAAATTGGTTGGCATTCTGCATGCTTGTTTATCCTGAAGAATGAAAGTAACTGTTCATTCTTCGGGATCGGTTCCCCACCTAGATGGCACCACCTGACTTCACTTTAAAAAAAAAAACCACAGGCAGATTCAAAAGAGACAGATTCATTGGCAGGATTTTCTCTATTTCTAGGATGTGGGCTGGGCACTCCCTGGTTGCTCCAGCCAAAGTGGCACCACTCCATAAACGGGGGAATATTTCAGTAGGCTCCAGGGAGCCCAAAGTCTGCAGACATACACAAGATATTTATGGGAAAACGGGGAAAGTAGCCTTCCCCCAATGCTTTTGACTTCAACCTCTCTCATTCTAAACCACCATGAACATTGGTGGCCTCCTGCTTTAAGTGTCATGAAAGATCCCCGATACCATCAATGGTGGAGCATGCATTGTAGGCACAAAGTAAACCTATGGAGGAATTATTTCTAAGGATATGCCAAGCGGTGGAGAACTTAAAGACTTCTAGATGTTACGCTATTGTGATTTCCATGTAATCACTATATGGTTGGTGATGAGGGAGGCTGGAGTTGGGGATCAGAACAATGTGGACATTTTCAGGTTGATCATCACTAGCAGACATCTGATACAAACGTTATTTTTAAGGAGTCCTAGCTACAAAATTGTGAGTTGTGGTTTTGGTAATTAAACCAATTCTCTTCTCAGTCTTGGACCCTAAAAGAGTCTTGGACCCTTTAGTGACATTTGACCAACATTCATAATATTTGTTTCCTTTATCAATCAATCAATCAATCAATCAATCAATCAATCAAGTAAGTCTTCCTAATTTTAAGAACCATGAGATTTCTTCTCTCTGATCAAGACTTTTTTATTCAAATGTCTGATTCTCCTAAATCAGATTTTCCTAAAAGTTTAGGGTTTTCCTAAAAGGAACCTACACTTCCTAAAAGTTCAACCCATTTTCCACATCTTCAGCATCCCAATTCTTTTCCTCTTGTCTCTAGTTGGTTGATACTAGTACATGTTACTAGTTGGTTAATGCCAAAACAAGACTTTGAGGTGCAATAAACCTCAAAGTCTTCATTTGGCATTAACCAACTAGTATCATGTAAATCAGTGTTTCTTTCACTCTAGTCAGCTTGATGACTTTCCTTTCCTACATGGGAGTTCAACTCAAAGCGGATTTGTTTTCTAGGCAACCAGTTTGTGAAGGCAAAGGGCATCAGAAGCTTCCTTCTCAGGAGCAAATAAAGGATGCATGTACGGCATGTCATTTTTGGGAACCTAGGCCAACCCAACGAAATAAAAATAGATGCATTTATTTCTCCTAGCATATTCCAATTGGAAAGATAAATAAAATAAGGGCAAAATACTTCTGCTATATAAGGGCAAGAAGCACATGGCGTCGTAAATGGGCAGCAGTGATGAATCGGTGCTTCACGAGGTCTGCAGTTAACATACAGCTTCCTTTTAACTTCACAGCCTTTATCGGATCTGTAACATTTTCAGTTTCCTCTTGATAATAATGAAAATCTAAGGTCATGCTTCTTTTCAAGTAACTGCTGACTAGCTCCACGGTGGAAAAGCAGTTTCTCCGCACGGAAGGACAATCAGCAGTTTAGAGGATTCTAGGATTCCTTGTATATCAAGAAACATTATTCATCACCTAATATTCAGCTAGATTCAAGCAACTAGGCAGATGGTATGCTCAGATTCTACCCTGTTTGCATTCAATAATTGGCACTCAACATCTCCATGGCTCTTACCCTCTAAGAAGTGATGTCCTTAGAGCAATCTCAGCAAGGGAAAAAGAGGGTCGAGGAGGACTTTGCTGTGCCCTCTGTAAGAAGATCTGAAGAAGATACTGATTCAAATCCCATAACCTGCTAGGTAGAACCTTGACCTTCAGATTGCGTTCATCTCTAATCTCCCACAACAAGATAAAGTGAGACCAAGTCCTCTCACCTTTCCACCCATGAGACTCATTTCATACCTTAGCATGCACCCAACTTGTCATTGTTGTAAACTGGGGCCTCAAGGATATCTGACTCCACATCTCACATTGTTGAGATGTCCATCTCAGATTGATGCTCTTGTAGCCCTCAGCTTCAACTCATCTCTGATTTCATCTACTCAGCGGAGTCTGCCTTTAAGAAGGCTGCTCTTTTTGCTACTGGAAATTTTTGCTTCTGAAAACTGGAATTTAAGTACAATCCTTTTTCTAAAGATCACCAAACATCGTGCTTGAAAATTCCAAAAGTTCTAGCTGGACGGATAACCCCCACCCCCAAAAAAACTGTATATCTCTTCTAGTTTCTGGCTCACTCCTTGCCCCCATCCCTTTCCTTGTGAGGCTGTCAGACACATGTCTGCCTCTCTCTGTCCCTTAAGGATGCAAACCTTCTACCTTCCAATGTATTAACTTGGCTTGATGTGTGAATTCTGCTCGTACTTTTCTTTGGCTAGAATTTCATCATCCATTGCTTTTCGTCCCCTGGAAAGCAAGAACCCAAATCCAGAAGAAGAAACGATAAGGAAAGGCTGGAAGGATGACTTACCTCCTGATGCTGGATCGGCGTAGATAGGAAGAAGATGCAGCAGAAGTTGGAAGATTGGCCAGCAAGCCCAGGTCCCTCGAGGAAGTCTAGATGCCATGATATTGCCTACAACTGTGGCCAGTGGCTCCAGATCATTCCTCTCACCCCGAGAAGGATCAAGTGGGTGAGTCAGGCGTTAGAAACAGAGGCTGTCTGTTTCCAATTGAGGTTTCAGCTACTACTATATTTAATAAACTTGTTGCTGGGACAAGGGAGGGACAATCTGAATTTCCTCAGCAGTCACAAGCAGGCTGGGCTAAAGCAGGCACCTCTCATATTACAGATGAGTTCCCCTCTTAAAGGGAACGTCAATTCCTCCCCATTTCTCTCCTCAAAGGCACATAACACTTTCTTTCTCTTTTCTTCCTCTCCCCCAAATCCAAGGGAGTGGTTGACTTCGTTCCGAATTTCATGGGGGACAGGAACACGCTTCACGACGCAGAGAAGAAGAATCGGACTTAAAACTTGAAGGCCAACTTGTAATGCGGATCTGGTGGATTTGCTCTTCAAAAATCACAGACTAGTTGTGTGTTTGTCTGGTTCAGGGGTGAAATCCAGCAGGTTCTGACAGGTTCTGGAGAACTGGTAGCGGAAATTTTGAGTAGTTCGGAGAACTGGCAAATACCACCTCTGGCTGGCCCCAGAGTGGGGTGGGAATGGAGATTTTGCAGTATCCTTCCCCCAGGAGTGGGGAGGGAATGGAGATTTTGCAGTATCCTTCCCCTGCCACACCCATCAAGCCACGCCCACCAAGTCACGCCCACAGATCAGGTAGTAAAAAAAATTGGATTTCACTACTGATCAGTTTCCTCTTTCACTGCTTTGGGAGTGTGGAATATCTCTTCAGCCTGTGGAAGAGATAGATATGCTAGATAGATGCTAGAGCCTTGGTAGTACAGGGGTTTAAGGCACCCTGTTATTAAGCTTATTAAGACCAGCTGCCTGCAATTACTGCAGGGTTTGAATCTCGCCAAGGCTCAAGGTTGACTCAGCCTTCCACCCTTTCAAAGGTAGGTAAATTGAGGACCCAGATTGTGGGGGCAATAAGCTGACTTTGTATAAATATACAAAAGGATGAAGGCTATTGCTGAGCACATTGTAAGCTGCCCTGAGTCTTCGGAGAAGGGCGGCATATAAATCAAATTAAAAAAATAAAATTAAAAAAAAATATCTTCCTTCTATCCATCGATAAGCAGTCCTGTCTCTTCTTGATAACTTCTAGTAATGGAGCACCCATCACATAAATGGCAATCTTCATTTCCAAAGGCTACTGGTAACACAGATGTATGTGGCTGATCACCAGATCTTTCTGTAAATACACCTTGAGAAGAACTGAACATTTTAGGGCTCCTGGGCCATTTCCAGCCCATTGGCTGTTCCTCTCCGGCCCGCATGAGGTCAATTGGAAATTAGAAATCAAATCTAAATAAATGCATGCCATATAACTGCATTGCTTTTATTTTGGGAGTGACTGCTATATTCCCCCACCCCCCACAATTTATATAGGTGTGTTTGTGCACTTTCACAGCCTTCTTGGTTTGGGCCCCCACAACGGTTCCAGTTTTGCACGGAAAACTTGGGAAAATTAATTGCCTATCCCTAAGGCGACCCAACTTTTTTACAATGAGAAGGAGGACACGTGCGTGGGTGCTGTGTCGTGTTTCGGTAAGAAGTAAACAAAGCCACTTGCGTGCGGTGCACTCTCAAAACGATTCTCCTGTGCGGAGTGCATGCATCTCATAATCGCATCTCGCCACGCTGTACCAAGCCTTGACGAATCATCATGTCAAATACAAATACGTCACATCACACGCAACGGATCGGATCGGCATCGATCGAATACAGAGATTTACAGATCAGTCTTCAAATATCGAAAAGGAGGACATGTAGGAGGACACTTTTTGAGAGAGGACAGAACTTGCAAAAGAAGGACTGTCCTCCCTAAAGGAGAAAGATTGGACACCTTACTATCCCTGACTCTGAGGGTCCTTAAGCCACTGGAAAGAAGATGCTTCTGCTTTCATGCTTTGGAGTGAAATTTCTGGGTGGGTTTGCATTGTACAACGGCTGCTTTTGCAGTTGGCTTTCCTTCAGTCTAGCCAGGGGTGGGCTTCAAAAATTTTAGCAAGGGGTTCTCTCCCCAGTTGGTGGGTGAGCGTGGCCATGGTGGGCCTGGCCTAGTCGATTTCTTGCACTATGGCATGGGGGAGCGTTTTAGCTCCCCCTGGGCTCAGGAGGCTTTCTTTGAGCCTCCAGGAGGGTGAAAACGGCCTCCCCAGGCTCTGGAGGCCCTCTGGAGGCCCATTTCCAGCCTTCCCGAACTTCTGGTAGACCCATTTTTTGCTCTCCTGAGCCTCCATGCGCACCCTGCACTTATCTGCATCCAAAAGGGGCCGCGTGGGGCCGCCTGGGAGTTAAGGGGAGGGGAGGAGTCAGAGTGGCCAGCCAGGAGTGGGATTAGGGGATTCTCCGAACTGCACAGAATCTTAGCTAGAGGTTCTTCCGAACCCCTGCAAACCCCCAGCAGCCCACTCTTGAATCTAGCAAGCTTTCTGCTGAAGCCCCAATTTTCACAAGGATTGCTTCTTTCACAAATACCTACAATTCACACTAGTCAACCAGGGCCTTTGATCCAGCCTGGGGACCTGCTTGGAGATTTGCTCGCTCCGACTTGAAAGTCTGACCTCTTTTTTTTTTTTTTTTTTGAATCAACAACTGTTGTGGCTCCTGTTTGGGCAAGAACTATGAAACGGAATTAATGGGTTGTTTATACTTGTTTCCTAGATCATTAATAAAGATCTTACGTAAATGTAGCGCTTGCTTGGCTCTGGAAGACTTTTATGAGCCTCTCCCTCTGGGTTTTAGTCAATTCATTGCTTAATTGAATTAAGATTCTGGAATATCGTCTTTGGCCAAGCTTGAGTAATTTGGCCTGATTGGGTTTTACAACAGATTCCTTTCTGTTTCCCTGTCATAGCTCTGCATGGTAGGCCAGATGCTTCCATCCTTTCCGTTACTTTTCACGATGGTGAAGAAATATTCATGATGGTGACAAAATATTCAAACAAATATGATGCTGAGAATCTAGAAATCTAGAATGCAGAGAAGAGCAACCAAGATGATCAGGGGACTGGAGGCTAAACCCAGGGATGAAATGCTACTGGTTCGGGTCGGTTCGCCTGAACTGGTAGTAAAAAATGCTACTGGTTCAGGTCGGTTCGCCCGAACTGGTAGTAAAAAATGCTACTGGTTCACCAAACCGGTAGTAAAAAAATGTAAAAAAAAAAAAGTTCCGATGATCAGCTGAGCGACGCATGATCGTCGGAACTTTTTTTTCCTTTTTAAGCATTTTTTTTTACTACTGGTTCTCCAGAACAGTGAGAACAATCAACCAGTGGAACAGAAGTTGCCTTCAGAAGTTGTGGGAGGTTCATGAAAACTTCTTGAAAACTTCCATTGCTCCAGCTACTAAATTAAATATCTTAAGAGATATTTAGAATATAGAATAACAGAGTTGGAAGGGACCTTGGAGGTCTTCTAGTCCAACCCCCTGCTTAGGCAGGAAACCCTATCTCATTTCAGACAAATGGTTATCTAATCTCTTCTTGAAAACTTCCAGTGTTGGAGCATCCACAACTTCTGGAGGCAAGTTATTGGTGCAGAAACCCCAGGACTGTCAGTAGATCTCTGACAGTGGATCTCTAGAACCCAATAGAGACTTTTTCATAATTGCCAATAAGTGAAGATTTCCATAAGTACGCTGGGAGATTTCTGTGTGCAAATTATATATCCTGGAATTGACCAACAGCTTCTTCCCTTCCATGGACTGTCTGGCTTAGAAGATTTCTTCTCATCAGAGGTGAGACAGTCAGAACATGGGAGATGAGAGATCTACTCACTGTATGGAATCTAGACCTCCAGCATGGATCGAAAGCCAGTAAATTTGAAATGGGCAATATCAATCTGAGCCCTTTTATGTTGAATGAGGAATTTATGGACCTTGTAACGTCCAAACTTAAACTCCACTTTGCACTGAGCCGCTGCTAGTCTAAATATGACAATAGTCAGAAATGATGGGTATTGGAGTCCACCCCATGTCTGAAAATGGCTATTGGGGGTCATCCTCACATCTTAGCTAGGAAGGTGGGGTAGGATTTTTGACAAATGAAGGCTCCTCTGGGAAATATCAGTGATGGAGGCAACAAGTGAATATGGACACTATGACTTGTGCAACATTATGTAAATCGGTCCAAGCAACTGATTGGCCTATTGTCCTAAATCACACAATGGTTGCTTGGCTTTGGCTTGCCATGTTGAGTAAACCCAGCCACTTTGTAAGCCATGGTTTATGGCTTTGCATTGTGCTCTAGCTCAGTAACTATACCTTATTTAGCAAACTAAATATGGTGAAACCAACTATGGCCAACAGAAAATGGAACCAACGAATACAGCAACTGCAGTAGGACCAAGGCAATAAGATTTACTAATGGACCGTCTCTTCTCCTACACAACTATTTCATGCTCCAGAGTCCAGACCCAAAGGATCTCTTTTCACCCCACTGCCAACTGCCCGGACAAACATTTCCTTCATGCTGGGCCTACTGCTCTGCCCACTCTGCCAGTCCTATTTATAGGCTGGCGACGGGCAACACCCCACAACAATGCAATGTATAGATCATTGCGCCTGCTAACTCCTGTTTACACCATTCCTTTTCCTTCCCTTTCCCAGGAATGCCGATGCTTTTAGACAGCAGCATTCCCAAGAGGTTGGATATAAAATCTCCAGCACTGTACAAAGCTGAGATTTCCAAGCCTTATTATTGGTGTTACTGATTGTAACTCTGCCAAGGGAGGAAGAAAAGCAGACATAACTCAAGATGCTCTGACTATTGTAGCATCTTCCCAGGGTTCAGTTGGGAGTGAGTCTTGGTGGAGAAACCTTGGCCCAGTTCAGCACCGGGAGTTACTATTCATCAAAGTCTGTTGGGATGATTCTTTCCAGTTTGGCTGGGTGGTTGCTCCTTCTACATGATTGGAGGGAGGGAGGAAGGAGGGAAGGAAGAGAGGGCGAGAGGAAGAGAAGAAAGGCAAAGAACAAGGGAAGGAGGGAGGGAGGGAGGGAGGAAGGAAGGAAGGAAGGAAGGAAGGAAGGAAAGGAAAGGAAAGGAAAGGAAAGGAAAGGAAAGGAAAGGAAAGGAGGGAGGGAGGGAGGATTGG